TAGAAGAACAAGAAGAACAAGAAGAACAAGAAGAACAAGAAGAACAAGAAGAACAAGAAGAACAAGAAGAACAAGAAGAACAAGAAGAACAAGAAGAACAAGAAGAACAAGAAGAACAAGAAGAACAAGAAGAACAAGAACAACAAGAACAACAAGGAGAACAAGAAGAACAAGGAGAACAAGAAGGACAAAGAGCAACAAGAACAACAAGAACGACAAGAACGACAAGAACGACAAGAACGACAAGAACGACAAGAACGACAAGAACAACAAGAACCACAAGAAGAACAAGAGAAATCAATAACATTACCAAATAACTCCATATTTTGCTTGTTCCCAGTATGTCTTGCATGGACAGAGTATGAACTAGAGAGATGATTAGCGACACCAAACACCCTATGACGTGCGTAGCCAGGAAGAAATCGTAACGACTGTAGTACGTCTCGTTACGCAAGTACGTAAGACCATTCCCAGCAGCAATCATTGTCGAAAATGCTAAAATTGTCGCTACCTTGTAAGAAACAGTCGCAACAATAAGTTACGGAACGGTTTTATCATTTAACACGTGTCTCATGCTATATTTTTATATGTAGTTTGATTAAACGTATGCCGTTTACGTACGTTGTTATGTATGCACGTTCTTTACGCAAATCTATTTACGCACGTTTTTTAATGATGTTATTCACGCACTTAGTACATATACGTATTCTMTTCCAAGTAACGGACGTTTTTCTGTACTTTCTTTTAACTTGCTGTTTACTCAACATTCCGTAAGTGCCATTCAATATTATTTTCCACGTTACTTYACTAACGTACGTTATCATAAAAACCGCGGAGTCTCCTACATTACACAAGTGAACATCTAAAGTCTTAAGTCGCTTTTAATAAGTAAGAACTGAAGTCGCATCTGTCCTTACGCGAACAACTTAATCTTTTCCATTGACGTCGCTCAACGTTTCGTTACAACGCGCGTCCGCATTGCATGTAGCGTGAAAATTGCAAGTACCTTACCAGTTCGATGATTTTTAGCGCACCTTTTCTGCTTTTTACGTAAGGAAAGTTTATCTTTGTCATTTTATCTTCAGTAATGAAAACACCAATTCTGACAAATTTCTGACAAAGCTACCATGTAGTTCAAGCTCGACTATTCTTCGCCTCCATGTTTGAGGATGGTTGAACAAGAAAAGCGTACGAGAATTGCTTTCTCATGAGACTCCTTTATCATGGCATTTACATTCTGACAATTTAAACATTCTGACAATGTAAACATTGACAAAAAAGCGTMGTGTCTTTCATAAGTTTGGCATATTACAAGTTTTTAAGTAAATACAAGCGTGATAACAAAGCTATATGACATTCAGAAGGGTCTTTGTTTAACTATGTCGGCTGCGTTCAGTATTTGTTGACATGTCATCCTGACAGACCTAAAAACGCAAATTTTGCTTTTCGGATCTGCATAAGTCATAATCGAACAGTTTGCGATGCAAAACAATCAAATAAAGACTTTGAAATGCTTGTCTTTATTTGATCCTAATCAATAGTTTGGAACCACAACCTCACATCCCTCCCCCCCCGGCACCTCATCAGGAAACCCCTGCGTAAACCCCCTCTTGGGATCCCTTGGAATTATGATGTTCTTGTTTCAATACTTGCAGTAGAAAAATTATGACACAGAAAATGCTTTGATTCCGTTTGCAGTGGTTCGTTGACATTTTGTCAAAGTTGTTATGTCGTTTCGTCTGATCCATCGCTTGGTTACTTTTCAAGATGGCGCTGGTGAATTACGCACTATATTTACGTATATCATAAACACAGGATTTGCATAAACATTGTTTACGCAAGTTGTAAAAGCAGTGTTAATAATTTACRCACGTTTTTATGCGATTATAGCTTTCCATACACATATTTATGCGTGTCATTTACGCACGTTATTTRCGCGTATGACTTACGTATGTTTTTTACGCATGCAATCTCAGCACCTCATATGATCACATTGCTTTAGTTACGCACGCCATTTAATTTGACCTACGTTATTTAGATCTATTTGCGTTGTTCATTCTTTTTTTAGAATACTTGAAGGTTGAATTAAATTTTATTCTAATACCTTCAATCCTGAAGGGCCGCAAGTAACCAAAAAGCACAGAGATTGTTTGGTACTAACTTTTTATTTATTGATTAATACTGTATATTAAATAGGCGTCTAAACACTAGGTCAGGAAATSTCCTCTATATATTAAAGACTACATGGGAATACCATATGCGTGAATATAGACCCTGAAAGAAACAACTTTTCACAATTTTATCTGTAGTTTGCTGTAGATTCATTTAACTTTGAAAACATGCAACCCAAAAGGCTATCCAAGTTTTATAACATTGAAATTTCTAACTATAGGGCTGATGTATAAAAAGCGAAAGTTGAAAAAGCGAAGTGCATAAGAGTCGCCACGACGCAATGTAAAAAGCGTTGTAGTAATCCAAGTACGTGTTTCATTTCGCTGATTGTGGACGCTAACAAGCTGACCTGAACATTTTATTTTAGTAATTCATRTAAATATACATGGGTAAATCATCTAATGATAAAAATCATAGTAAAATTTGTGAAATTTTCTCTACTGACTAAACTTTTTCGACTAATAAGGGCGAGAAGCGCGTCAAGCAGAAGAGGGGAAAAAGAGCGGGGAAAAAAAATGGTAAGCGCGTCAACCAGAACCGCGAAAAAGCGCGGGAAAACGTCATTTTGCAGCGTCGGCRTATTAGTATATTAGACAATATGAACTAAAAAAGACTAAGAAAAATATTAAAAATAAAACAACAACAGAAAACAACAACAACAACAACAAAAACAAAAACAATAGGAAATCTTGAAAAGGCTATCGAAAGTAGCCTGCTTGCAGTCGAACCAAAATTGTTAAAATGTCGACGGTTCGGCTGCACGCAGGCTACTTCATCGACATTGTTACAGTTTTGGTTCGACCGCAAGCAGGCTAAACGAAAGTAACTTCTTCCTTTTGCCTCAGTTTAAAATAATTCCTAAAATTGAAAATATTWCTATCATTCAAAAATGTCTATTTGTTAGTTACATAATTCCTATTTAATTACAACACTTTTAGCAGMTTTATCAATCAGGTGTACGATTCTAACATTACGTTTTCCTATATGTGATGCATTCTTAATAAGGTTATGGAYCTTTTTCGTGTCGAACATGTCGGTACTCAATAATTGAAAAAAGCACCAACAAAACAATAGAAAGTCGGAATGGAAATTTAGTTTMATTWTAAGATGAAAGTATTTTTAAACGAGGGATTTCAGGCCAAAATTTTAACTAAAAACAGTGGCTTTCGRATTCCACKAAGTCATTACAGCACCCCGTTCGACACGGAAAAGTTCAACGCTCTAAACTAAAAATGGTGTTAAGATTTGTATGTTTAAGCTTTAGGTGCTGAGTCGCCMCCACCACCGCCGCCACCACCTTTGATGGCACCAATGTGCATCACAACATCTACGATGAAGGCAACCATAGCGAAAAATCCAAATGCCTGCAAAACAATAAAACAAGTAAAAATAAGCATACATAACTCGTACACTCGTTTTCAACCATTCCTATGAGATTCAAAGATAAAAGACCGGAGGCTATGTTGGAGGACTGAACAATAGATACTAATGAGAAATCCTTTGTTAAAGTTCCTCCAAGATGGCCGCTGTGATGTAACTTGAAGACGAAGAATACTCGGCCTTTTTACAGTTCTTAACGACATTCAATAAAGGAAGCAGTAGGAGCYTCTTTGATCAACCTCGTTGCCTGGGCTCTCTTCTCTCTATTAAAATATCGGACGGCTAAAAGACCTTTTCTCTACTCAGAAAAAGGCCCTCGGAATGAGGTTCTTCTCTTCATCTTTGCATTCCATGCAGGAAATCATTCTTCATAAGTATGCACCTTACTAAAGCAAGACGGCGCTTGTGAATGTTTGGGTGAAGAAGAGTATATAATAGATTTCTTAAAAACAACATTAACAAACGTAAATGTGATTTTAAGAACCAATATACAAATTGCAGCGACGCCATTTTGTGCAAGAAAGTCCTCACACAAGTTTTTATGTCTTCTAAAACAATTCTAAGCCGTTAATTTTTTGCTTTCTCTTTGCAAAAATAAAAGAGTTGTACCCAATTAATCATTAGAGATTTTTTAGGRGTGTAAAAAACATGAGAACTGTAACTCGCATAATGCCTTGTACAGAATGGCGTCACTTCACATTGTACATGCGCTCTTTTTAGWTCTTCCATCTTAAGGCCCGTTTACACTTGCGATTTTTGCAGTGCGATTGTTGCGCGACAATCGCCACTTTGTTCTGGCGCACCTCAAATCGTAAAGGCTGATTTACACGGTACGATTTGTCGCGCGCGACTTGTAGTATACGATTTTCCTACTACAAGTCGTAGAATTTTAAGCCGTGGTTCAAAATCCTACTACAAGTCGTAGGCTGAGTACGACTGTTGTAGACAAGTCGTAGGGGCATTTACACTGCGCGATTCAAGTCGTATACTACAAATCGCACGAGACAATSGTGCCGTGTAAATCAGCCTTTAGTGTAAGCAGTCCTGCGATTGTCGCGGCGACCGAGAATCGCCGCGCGTTACAGTTAAATTTMAAGCATGTTCGAAACTCGGGCGACAATCGCGCTGCAAAAATCGCAAGTGTAAACGGGCCTTTACAGCCAACTCTCGCCTTACGGATACCCCGCTATTACGGAATCTCACTATTACGGACACCAAGTCAAGTCGCGAGGRTGTCCGTAATAACGAGAGTTTACTGTATCAAATACTTGTGGCACAGACAGYAAACGTCAAAAACAACAATATCAATCGTCAGATCAAATAGGTACTTAATAACASAGGAAACCCACCCAACGACATGAGTCTAATCAATACCACAGGTAGCCCATACTTACAATGCCTGCAACCATGGTATCCCACCCAGCCCAGCGGAATTTACCGCCGTAATTTAAATCATCCGCGATTTTAGCCACCAAAGATGCACTGATGAGTAGCAGTACAGCGAAGACTATGCTGGTGATGAACACCTTGAAAATAATCAAACAACAATGTTAATGGTTAGCGATAGATGAGGTGACGGTTTTGTCCGCCATTTTGGACSGGTAGGCATAGTGTCGCAAAATAACAAGGAATGACCGGGAAATCGATGTCAAATAATTCTCGCTGAATTCAAATTCAGAAAGAATTATCAATTGCAAACGTTAGATACTACAAAAAGGAGCATACTAGCCAAATTTGAAGGATGTGCTTCGTCTAGGGAGCGAGAAAATTTATTTTTAGTTTTCAATACWTTTCTTTGTATTTTTCACGCGCGTCACGCACTGATGACCCCGGAAATTATAACGAAATGTATTGAAATTACAAAGAAATGTATGGAGAACTAAAAATGAGTTTACTCGCTCTCTAGATCAAGTACGCCTTTCAAATTTGGCCAGTTAACTCCTTTTTGCAGTATCTAACGTTTGCAAATGATAATTCTTTCTGAATTTGAATTCAGCGAGAATTATTTGACATCGATTTCCCGGTCATTCCTTGTTATTTTGCGACACTATGCCTACCGGTCCAAAATGGCGGACAAAACCGTCACCTCATCTATTTTCGCCCCATCCACCAATTTCTCGACACATCTTTCTTACCGAAACTCACCCTCGTACATCGAAGTAACATGTGCAATATGATCATCCCGGTGGATGTAGTTCTGAAAAGAGCTATTTATCATATAACACGGTGAAAAAATAGGTGAAACAACTTACTGACGTTTCGGACGTTAATACTAATTCGTCGGAGTACTTAGAAATGGAACTGGAGTTAGGTTTTAGTAAGTAAGTTGTTTCACATTTTTTGCACGACGCAGCTCACACTAGTTTATCGCTAGTTTCCACCATGCAACTAAAACCCGGCCCAGTCAGTCCAACATACTCACAACAAGGTTGAAGTTGACTTGTGGAACTTTTTCGGTGAGTTTAAAAAAGAAGAACACGAATATTGCACCGACGATGAGCCAACCAATCACAGCCACGGCCAAAAAGAACGATATACGACTACGCCAAGTCCCGTAGCCATAGCCACCGTAGCAGCAATCGGAGATACAAGAGAAGGACAAAAGAAGTAAACACTGCAGATAAATAGAGATAAATAAATTACTATAAATACGACTTCTCCCAGTTTAAAGAGAGATACCGCTGTTACAGTACACAACGGACTCACTTGTGAAGAGACCTTAACGAAAAGCAATAGAAAGCATGAAAGAAATAGCCGATTTGCGAGTTTCTTCTCAGTAGTCAAACACAAAAGAATCAAGACGAGTCGCCGTGCATAAAGCTCAGTTAATTGCAAAAAATAAAAAAAAACTATAGAAAAGACTATTGTCTTTTCACGAATAACTGAGCTTTATGCACGGCGCCTCGTCTTGATTTCTTTGTGTGCGACTACTGAGGCAAAATTCGCAAGTAGGTTATTTGAATCCTTTCAGATTTGAGGCTAAGCCTGTCTTTCCACAAGACCTATAGTTAAAGCCTTTTGGGAATACAGTTAGCCTCGAATCAGAAAGAATGCAAATTTGTGGAGCCATTGTAATGACAACATTTTCCTGTGCTTTCTATATTTTTTTTAAAGGTCTGTAGTAGAGAGACTACGGTTGTCAACTAAAACAATTGTTGTCAGTTGGGTCAAYAGCCGTAGCAGCCGCAGGAGGAGAAGCACCTGAAGGAGAAGCAGGAGCCAAAGGCAAAGAAGCAGGAGGAAGACAAACAAGGGGCAGGAGCATCAAGAAGTGATGTTGCCAGGAGGGTGGGCACAAAAGAGAAGAAGGAGGAGGAGTACCTGGATGACGAACGCAAGGACAAGGAAAGCAGCACTAGGAGCACCTAGAAGCAGAAGCACAAGGATCGAACATGGAGGACCAGGTGCAGGAATAGTAATCCAGTAATCAAAATGATGATGACCTGCTTGCAGGTAGTATAGTGTTGGTACTTACAAATTCTACGATCTTTAGAATGCCAGGAATAGACTTTGCGTATCCAGTGTTCATTTCCACCATTTTGATTATAGTTCTAAGAAAATGAGCAAAGATTGATACATTATTCTTCCAATACAACTGGTGTTCACAAAATAGACCGAACACGTTTTATATTGATCGTTTTCAATCATTCCCATTAGATTCAAAAGATAAAAGACTGGTGGCGATGTTGGAGGAATGAGCCATCGATACTAATGAAAAATCCTTTGTTGAAGTTCCTCCAAGATGGCCGCTGTGWCRTATAGTGRAAACGAAGAATACTGTAACTTGGYACATCAAACGTTTGATGCGCACAACGTGTGGTTGCAACAAATCAAGCCTATGMAGCCGTGCTTTAATGTGAGTTGAGTTTGCGGGCAAATTAACAAAGCCTGCCATGACGTCAAGTTGTCACAGTTCTTTATACTAGACGTTCCAGTTAACCGGTCGAACTGGTTATTAACCTGTTATACCGCGACTTGCAGGGATTGATTCAAGCGTAACACACTATCACGGAAAGTAGTTTGATTAAAAAGAAACGACAAAAGAGCTTCTTTTCGTTTAATGAAAGGGGAATAGAATACTCTAACAATAGAACGACATGTTACCAAAAATAGGTTTTCGAAGATACGAGATCTCCAGCATCTCATTGTTACTTGACAAATCATTCTTTAGACAAATCATTCTCGTAGACAAATCTAAAGACGCGTCACAACAAAACATTTTATGCAAAAGTAATTTAAAAAAAACACGTCGCCATAGTTATATTGATCATTTTCGAAAAGGAATACATTAAAAAACGACAGTCATTTTTATTTTAATATGCGCACTAAAGCTTTGGTCAACATAAAAAAAGTTAAACCGTTGAGCCCGCTTTTGTTTACAGTCGCAAATTCTAATAAACGATGGCTTTAGAAGCAAGCCTAACGTTATTACATGAAAGGAACAAAGGCTATTGACAGTACGCACTTTCAAACTGTTCCAGCTGTTTTGAATTTGAATTTTTTTCACTTATAATAACCACTRAATTTTCACTTTCCCGCGAGGAGAGATTTCAGCAATGAGCTGACGTGCAGAAAAGCAACCGCAAAATAATTAAAATAGCAAAATGAAATTTTATAGGATCTCGACAAGTTTACAGGAAATTTTGGTTAATCTTTTCAACACCGCTTTAAATTATTATAACTGTACTTTGCTGCATTGTGTMATTTTAATCAATCCACTTTACTGGACTGATTCCAGCTTTTGACTTTGAAATAAGTGAACTAAATTATATTAATTATGAATATTGGATTCATAAARGCCTTGCCTTATTTGAAAACAATTATCTCAGCTTATTATTCCCGTAAAAATACACCCAATAGGTTATAGAATATATTATCCTTATGGTAATTTCATATCACGATATACTACCTTATCACGWAATTTTTTCTTCCTCATTCAGCTTTAACTGAAACCATCGTTTCGCTTGCGGATTCTCATTCGACATTTTAGCTATAATCTCTTCTATTTTTTAATTTTTGAGCAATCTTTGTGTGTCTTTATATATAAACATAATTGAAATAGTGCGCGCGCTTTTAAACGAAATCTTTGTTTACATTTTCTTCGGGTATATTTTATGCTTCTTTCATTAAGTCAAATCCAGGCTTACTGGCGTATATTCCATCCATAAACGAGCTTGAATGTGACTGTATTTTAGCAAGGTCAAGGAAACATTTATTTATCAAGGGGAGCGTCGTACCTCGGACGTAAACACGATCACTGACAGAATAATTAAGTCCAAAATAACGCACTATAAAGTCAGTGTTGGGCTACAAATTCCGAAATATATGCATTGGATTGCGGTCTTACCTTTGGCAGAGCGAYAATTGAGTTGCAAACTAAGCTCAGATGTTCCACCTCAAGGAACTCCTATAGGACTGATTCAATCGCTTGTGTAGTTGGGTGGGGAGAAGAAGACGAGTTAGACTGGGCTTAGTCTGTTCAAGCACTGGTAACTTGGCAACAGTGTTAACAGAAAAGCATTTTGACATCTCAACAAGTACAATTCTTGTTTCAATTTTTAAAGCTCAAAGAAAGTTACATTTAATCGCGTAGCAACTGCTAGTGGAACTAATTCTTCTGTTTTTAAAATGTAATCTAGTTTCTTTTCTTAAATTGTACATAAATATTGAAAATACATACTTTTTTTCTTTTCTTGATGTACTTTGACGCGTACTTTGTACTTTGGGTGCTATAGTCTAGTAGTACTATCAAAAATGTCGCAATGAATAGTTAATGTGAGTTTATGTGACAGCTTTTTGACTGAACTAATCATCAAACATTTAAGATTTACGAGTGCGCGATCTCATTGAWTGACTCACGTTGGCCTGTCCCTGGCGTCACGGCATTGGAAAAAACCGCGCTGTAAATTTGATGTAAAAAATGATGCAAGTAATATTTACATGATTTCGGACACTTGCATGATATTTAAATCACATTTATACACTAACATTTTTTACAAACTATGTAAATTTAGTCGAAATATTATGTAATTTAAAATCGAAATTTACACGACATTTCCATGATTTTGGACACTTCCGCTATGAATTTACATCATTTCCATTAAATTCTTGATTCCACGAACGATTTCCGGCAAGGATTCTGGATTTCGTGATAGATTTCGCAAGAATTCTAGATTCCGTCATATAATAGCCAGAGTTTCATCCAGCGTTTACTCGAAACCCGGGATATACGCAGGCTAGTCATGTTGGACTCGAATACAAAATATCCTAGCWTTTTCGGTCGTCTGTGACTCGTTTAAAATTAGGAATTGAAAACATTTGAAGTCACAAATTTGGATTCCGGATCCTCTTGTTTTATCGAATTCCGTTGCAATGCTATACACCTTTTCAGTTGCACTTAGGCCTCGATAGCAAGTTAATTATTCTTTTGAATTTKACAAATGAGRCTATWCATATCAATGTTTGCATTGCTCACATTCCTACAAATTCAAAAGAATATTTAACACGCTGTCGAGGCCTAAGAGCAACTGAAAAGGTGTATTGCCGCGGATTCCGAAATCTAAGTATCTGGTATCCCGGATTCCAGAGCCAAACTTATGTCTGATTCCGTTTAGGGAGCGGGAGAGGAAAATTAGGAGGCGCGGGGGATGGGAGGGCAAGAGGAAGAATCTCTTTGTATATGTACCCCCATTCCCTTCAAAATACCTGGATCTGTCTCTAATACTTTTTACTCAATCCAGGGTCCTTGCTTTTTTGTGGGGGGTGGGGTGGGGGATTTTTTTCTCCCAGTGGGAAAAATATGAACAAGAACCACAGAATGTGATGAGAGTGATACAGGATGGGGAAGCCTACATAGCACTCAGTTGATGTAATATATTCATAAAGATATAATACAAAACACATAATACAATAGAACTAGAAACAATGGAATACAATACATTTTATGAATACATTACATGAACTGCGTGCTACATAGGTCACCCCGATACAGGATGAATATATTAAATATAGTCCATAATTATCATTATTATTAGAATTTTATTAGATTATTAGTCACTATATCACTGGGCTGTAAATTACACCAATCGCAGTATCCATTATATTGAAGAAAAATAAATAATTATGGCTACATGGGAACTTAAATAACAGGATAGAGCAAAAAGGACAAAAGAAAAAGCAATAATGGAGTATCTATCTTGACATCTACATATTTACTTTCATTAATGCACAAGAAAAAAGGATTTTTTATGAYGCAGYTTTACCAATGACAAACCATTTCAAATGGGTTATACASTCGTTTTCATAAAGTTGTCCAAGAAATTATCCAAAAGTAGACAAMTACATAATTCCACAGTTCTAAGTTCTGATGACAACCCATTTKAAAAGGGGGTAAAATAATTTATCATTGTTTGTTAAACAGCTTTTTTCATAAAGGTTGTYCAAGAAATTGATCCAGAAATAAACAAATAATCCCATAGTTGTCAAAAACACTCATTTCTCTTGATTATAGAAAATGCAAYATTTTGCTGGTTRTTTCACAACACATTTTCTGCAAACTTTCAAACTCAAACGGTAATAAATTGCCTTATTGCATAATGATGSGATTCCCTTTGATAAGATAAACTTCTAAATATTTCGCTATATATTTTATGTATCAATGAGTATTTATCTCTATCTATAGCCTTTTGTTATTCCTCATTCTCTTCTGTTTCAAATCAATCCACTATCTATTGAGCCTGTTTCCCTGCTAATAAACTCTCTTGTGGTACATTTTAGCTACTTCTCGGGAGCAACAATGAGAAACTCTGCTTTCCGAGAATCACTCTGTCGACCAATAAATGGTTTTTAATGTTGACGCCATTATACAATATGCTATGTTGTAGTATTAGGCAAGATGTGATATCACAAAATATTGGTCGCAAAAACCCATACACACATTTACAAATCCTTGACAAGCTGACGTAATTTCTAAAGCTTTTGTTACATTAAAGTTGTGTGAAATTCAGAAATGACTGATGGATGATATATATAGCAAAATGAACATTGTCTCCTGAGCAATTGGCAACACACATTTATAACAGTTTCTTGTAAAGAACTGTCTGTCTACACTTCTGCTTTCAATGATTTTCAAAAAATTAGAGTGCACGCCACATAAGCATGAAACAATTCTTAAGTAATCAGCGCCTAATAAGATTTAGTTATCAACTAACTAAGAATTTAGT